ATATTAGACTCATTAGAAGCAGAGTCAACAGGTGTTGCTGGTAATATTTTCCTCTAATTTCATGATCAGTTTCAAGTTGTGAATTAATGTTTCATGACATAGGTACACGTGTCGGGAGACTTAAAGTAATGTTCAAGCTCCCTGCCATTTTTCATGGTGGTTCTGTTGGTATACCAAAACATTGGCCCAAAATTCCATTGGCGTACATTGAATGGTACACCAAGTTGAAAAGTAGTGCAGATCCAGCACATATGATGTATGTGATTACAAAACCTGCACTTAAAGCTGATGGTACTCCACCAGCTTCCATAGTACCATTGAGCAGTATACAACAAGGCTGCCACTTGTTGCCTTTGTTTGGAAAAGATCAAGTGCCTGCTCACTGGTGTACAGAAAATGCTTTGGATGTTTGTGATAGATTTCTATTAAATAATTGGGCTAGTTTGTATGCATACCACACTATTTGGTGAATATTAATTCTATCATTATTAGTATCAGAAAAAGGTTCTCATAGACATAATGAGCTGGTATAGCTAGTATAGCTGACATAGTAAATATAAGGCTTCACATAGAGATTTATGGCTATAATAGGAATTTAATAGCTATCATAACAGCTATAGAAACATACCCAGCTTTATAGCAAAATGGTTTTTCCTGATGAGTTATCATTATCACTGTCCTCTGTACTAATGTTGTTTTCAACACTTTCTTCATTGCGCTCTTCCCTCAGTATGTATCAATCAAAATCACCCCATCGCAGCACTTTAAAAAAATGGCTTTTATAGCAGTCACCTCCACCTACCAAGTAGCTCATTACTTGTTGATGTGACAGCTCTTGTTGTGCCATGATAGCATTAACAGCCTTGGTGAATAAACTACGATTTCTGAAGGTTGTCGACTCTTCTGACGACACCCATTTTATCCCATTTTGCTTTACAGCATATTGCAAGGCATCAAAACCGACATGTACTGGCAAAGTGCTTTTTGTAATGTAATCAGTTACATAATAATTTGCGGCTTGGCCAGATCCAATATACTTGATGTCCATATTGCAGCGCATGAGGAAAATGACAACCTCATTGAAGTTGTTGACCCAAGGATGCAATTGTCAAAGCAAGATGGACTTCGTTTCAGGATCAATTTCAGTGAGTGACCTTGTACTACCATTGATACGCATGCAGCAATGTGAATCATCCCTAGGTTCCCCTACTTTGAGATGTTTCCAACAGGTATCTGTATGTTCATGCCAGTTGCACGCAATTGCCAACTCAGTAATGAAAACCTGGAAATCAGTCTGAAATTGACTATCATCAGAATCAGGGGAAAAACAAGGAGTGTTTAGTACATGCGGGTCAATAGAATCAGGAGAACAAGGTGGTTTCTTCACTGGTGTCCCATCCTCTGGAGTCAAAATATTATTCATGCCATAAAGCTCACACTTGATAATAGATTCGAACCATTCAATTATTTGATCACAATAGACACTGTCAGCTTGCATTTGACCACGCAACCTTTGTGGATTGGGATTACCTCGCAGCAATAGATGGCAATGAAGGGTGCCTCACCCTTGGGCTTCAACCATACCATAGTAGGCTTCACTGTATCTAAACAAACCTGGAGAATTTGAGCCGTGTTAAGCAATAATTTGAAGAAAGTGAGTCATCATAACATGGAAAAACTGAGCAGCTGCTGCTGGGTTATTTGCTACAAATACACTATGCTCATACAATGACATAGCTTGCCAAGCTTCAGGGAGTAAACCGCCAAGAATACCAACAAGGGGATGGTGAACATCACAGGGATTAAGGGTAAGGAAAAGAGCAGGAGTTCCGAAACTCTTCAGTAGAGCGCGAATCTCATTTCTGTGGCAGAGTTTGTAGCCAGTTGACCCTTTAACTTCTTTGGCAATGAGCTTGAGTTTATTTGACAAGCTTTTGCAACAGGATTTTGATAAAATTGGATAAATGACCAGACCAGGGATTGAACCTGGAACCTTCTGGATACATGATAGCTGCTCTACCAATTGAGCTATATGGCCAAGGTTATACAATGTAGGATCTTAAACATGACATGCAACCACGGACGTCTTACACAGAATAGCTGCTGCATACTGGGCTGGCTTACAAATCAGAGGTATTATCCTATGGGGTATTGGTATGTCAGAGTATATTCTAACAGATTTTTCTCCCAGAGATGAATAAGGTCAGTCAAACCAGGGGCATGTTCAGTGACCTGGGCACCAATCAACTCACGTAAAGATGAGGATACACAAAAAGACACTTGCTGGTTGACCTCTTTCTTTTGCATAATGTTAAAACAGACATAGGCAAAGTTGGCATCTGCTTGAAACCAACTGTAACAACCAAGAGTTTGTTACTCTGGCGCACAACTAGAACCAACTATAGAGATGATGATGAGAAAGTGGTTACCCTTTAGGCTTCAACAAGTTAGTTGTGAGGATACAACAGGAGGACTCGCTCAGGAGTCTCCTTGATCTATTGGGGTATATATACTACTATAGGTTTGATTGTTTGTACATATATACTATACAGTTGACGAAGGCAGTGGCTGATGATGTCAGAGGGCGCAGCCCGTGTAACCAGCTCCACTGCATGAGAGACTTGTATCTAAAATAGAAAGAAAGGCAGTGCGGCGCGAGAAAGTGGAGTTTGAACAAAAGGGAAAGTGCCACGTGGAACGGAGTGTGAAAAATACAGTAAAAGGTTAAAGAGGAGAATGAAAATTAAAGGCCCAAAAATGTGTTATTGTAACACCGACCATCATCCTGCATTAAGAGATTATGGACTTGTCTTCGGAACATATGTGTTGCCGTTCTGTGTGATCTGGGTGGTGAAAGCTGCCTATGCCCCATGGATCCAAATGAGGAAACAATAATGATAACATTGAAGAATCTTCATCATTCATCAACTTACTAGCACTCCAAACTTGTAGAAACCTATGGCCATTCAAACATGAAGCGAGTGCAGTGGCTTTCATCAATTTGTAGCTTGCAGGTGAATGGTTGCCAGCAGTATAGCCAACTCTGTCAAGTATATAGTCATCCTGTGCAGGCAAGTCTGGTGAGTCAAGTTCTACTTGTGAACAATCTGTATAGTCTGAAGTTGCAGAATTGCCATGAGATTCAGGAGCTACAAAATTCAAAGAGATGGCAGAGGGCAACTGATTGTCATCATTGCCACTATACAACTCATTCAAGTTGTGTTTGCTAAACTGAACACCACTCCTTTGGTACCATGGATGCTCTCCCGGTTCACAGCAGTGTCAGCCCTAACAAATAAAGTGCAAAGAGACTCATCAATGTTGGAACGAGAAGGGGGCAAAGAAATCTCAAACATTTAGAGTATCTTGTGGTAAAATGGCAACATTACCTCTGATGAACTTTTGAGAAGCAGTAGGATCACCCCTAAATGCTCCCTCCTTCTCTGAAAATAAATAAGACAGCTGCATGGATTGTGCCTGTGCAATGAGTATAAGATCTAGTTTGGAGCAAGTAGCTGCACATTGTTGTACAGCTGAGGGCAATACATTATGACTGTAATACTAAAAATTGGACCATGAATCCACGGGTTGCTTATGATGATCAACAAGCAAATGGGGGCACAAGGAACACATAAGGATGGGACATAATGTATGCGTACTTTGCATTCCTTTGTGGTATAAGATCACTTGGTCATATAGTTCAAAATCATAAGACCGGGGAAAAGTATATCTGGGAAGATAGTCATTCCTCAATAACTTCAGATCAAAACTCACTGGATGAACAGCTTCAACATTGTCAAACAATTTGTTTTGGCCACAGACAGCACATGGCTTGCAAGATTGGACAAAGGAGGACTTGGTGGATTGCCATTGTTGTATGATACGCAACTTGTTGTTTGCGGATGCAATAGGAGGAAAAGACAGAGTTGTGACAGAGGGGGGATATGGCTGATGGCTTGCTCAACTTTGTTGCTGGTTTTCCATTTGTTGAAGGGATAATTGATTCTGTCAAGCGCAAATGTCAGCTATAAAGTCAGGTTGGCATTGACAATTGCAATCACAATGATCACTCTTCAATTCATGGAAGACATATCTGTGAAAGTGCATACAACAAAAACTACAATGATGTGCAAGCAAATGGCGGACGAGAACAATCTCGACGGGATTCTTTGCAACATATATTGCATGGGCACGAGCTATGACACTTAAATTTGGCACAGTAAGATGTTGAAAATGTTCAAGGAGTGGGCAAATAGATTCAAATTGAGCAACTACAATAGGTCCCATAGGCCACAGTTGTTGGGGAGAAATAGCCCTTGTTGTCATGAACATCACAAAAACTAAAACTACGCCGAAGTCAATAAGTGCTAATGAAGTTGTCAGTAACTTTACCATTCCGACTTTCATAATCTCGTTCAACAACCGGCAGCACTATCATTGTGCAAACATCCGAGACAACCAAAGGAAACATACAACGAGCAAAAAGGACAGAGATCAGGAAGGATGAGAAGGACCTTGAAAATAGCACTCACCACGGTGAAGAAAGGGAGGAGTGACATTGTGATTGCTTGAAGTGCTTGAAAGTCTAGCAGACGAGGAGGAGGGTATTGACGGGTACAACAAAGTTAAAGGAGAAGCAGATGCAGATACAGATGCAGATGGGGTGCATTGGTAAGACTGATGTTGAACAGAGGAGCATGCAAAAGCATGCTGGGGAAGGGAGGAATATGATGGTCAGGCGGAGGACATGAAGAGCACGGGATAAAGTGTAAAGAAGAGTCATTGTGAAGAACACAGGACTCAGAAGAGTTGGCTTGAGCCATTGATAGGAAGGAAAGTGATAAGATGGAAGAAAGGAAAGCTTGAAAAGCAGGAAAATGGCCGGAAAGAGAGGTGACCAGAAAAAACCGGTTGTTCAGACTTGAGACAATGTTCCGGTGCCATTTCCTGTGGCAATTGTAAAGATAGACCTGATAACCTACGGTACCAGGAATAAGGTCTTAAACCCAGTGGAAAGTCATTCTGTCATCAGGAAATGCTGACTGATTCCACCAATTCATCAAAGACTCGACTTCATCACACTCCTCTGGATCATCCAACAAAATCAGGATGCTGTTGTAGAAACACTTGGAATCAGTGGTAAGATCTGTCCGTAAAAACACCTGTGCTGAAGTTAGTGCAAAATGAACCTATATTTTCAAGTCATCTTATCAAGGCGTGATCTTTAGAATATTGAGGTGCCATAGCTTACTTGTGTAGCCATGTAGGCAATGGAGGCTCTTGTTACAGCAAGCATGCCATGTATACGGGCATTACAAGAGCGTGTAGCCTTCGGCTCTTGATTGACAGAGCTGGGCGATGTAAAAATATGCTCAAACACCTATAAAAGAGTTCAAATCATCAGAATAGTAGTATACTCAAAAAACTCACATTTATAAGAAGACTGCTTCTCAATAAATCTTCCCAAGGATCATCCAGGTTGTACTGGTATTTAGCATACAGCATTATCGGCCACTGATCTCCTGAGACTTGAATTTGGCCATTGACGAGTTTTTCTCCAATTCCTATAACAACAAGTCAATACATCAAATCAAAGACAAGTTGAATAATGCACTCTAAGTTTGACCAATCCATCCCTGCTGAGCATAGAAGAGCCCCCATATGCTCATTATTGAATCCATGCCCAGTCTTTACATTATGATGTATGTAAGGCGGAAGTGCTTGACCTTTAGGGGTAATCCAATCAACGACCTGCCTTTAAGACCTTTTGTATTGTTTGCACCTTTTGAATCTGTAAACAAATTTATCATAAGAGTATGTTGTGGTAAGAAAAATGTCCATACCAAGTCGGCAATATGGATTATTTCTTCCTCAGAGGAATCTTCTCTCATCAAATCTTTCTCCAGCCTCGGAATAATTTTAAGCAGCTCTAAATATACACTTTGTTCTTTACGTTCCCTGGAAATTAAGGAGCGGATGAATGGAAATACAGAGAAAGAAGACAGTCTCATACTCAGCTGTATAGCTCTTTTTGGGCTCATCCAAAACCATATGTTCAATACCGTTTTTGATAAGACTCTGGACATTACAGAATGCATGTATTGCTTGCTCAAAATGATGTCCATGATGAACAATAGGATCTTGGGTAGAACTGTACAGATAGTAAGTCAAACATTAGCAAATACTATGCCTAGTGAAGCATGGCAGGATAGCTGCTGGCATCGCTGCATCATACAAATCAAACTCAGACTTATGGTCTTTTCCTAGGGCCCAGCTCCAAGGCAGAACTTCGGCCACACTTGTTATTCTCTGAACTACGCCAATATTCCCTGTCACCTTTGTTGTCAGACATAGATGCAAAAGGTGGAAAATCAATGGCAGACGACTTTAGAGTACATTTTATATCTGATGTGCATTACTACAGTGACCATATGACACTTATGACTGCACAAGCGGTATATCCTCTTGAAAGACTTCTTGGGACATAGAGGCTATTTTTGAGTAAGTGGCGTAGCCTAAAACTTTGATAAGAGCCGTAACTTGCCATGATGTGATGCTGGCAGCAAGATGATTATAAGGTAGTTACACCAAATGCATAAAATAGGGGGGCCTACCCACATTGGGTGAGTTGACTTTTTGGTACTTGAAAGCTGTTCAAGTCCTGAAATGGAAATCCAGTTGCGTCTCCTTGGGCATAAATGGTAGTACAGTGCTACAGTTGTTAGCCTGAGCTCCTGGTAGCTTTGGGTTCTTGTGTGGCTTCTTCCAGTTCACAGGGCAGTCATTTCAGATCTTAAACAAGCACTACAAATATCTATAAAATGCACGCACTCTTCCGAGTCATTGACTTTTTGTCTCAATAACACTGCCAGTGGAGTGATTAACGACAAGATCAGAGGGCAGGAAATAACTGTAAGGTGCATAACAGAGTACCTCTTTGGCTGGTTTTTTTACAGAACTCAAACTGCTGAATATGATGAGGGATGATCCCAAAAATTGAAGGGCTGGGTTTAATCTCAAAATAGGGAAGACTTAGAACTTCAAAAAATAAATGGGTAAACCTACCTGAAGAAGGAAATTGTGTTCCAGGTTCATGTTATTTGTCCGAGTCAGTGGAATCTGCTGTGTGTAGGAATCAAAAGAAAAGGGACAAGCGCTCCTCAAACTATGAATCACAGCAACTACAACTGACTTGGAAGCCTTACAATGGGCCTTACAACGGCAAAGGTGAAACCTGAACCTGTATTGACTTGGACTTGGACTCGGAAGTTAAGTATCCTAGCCAACTGTAGAGTGACTCAAGTGCTGACTTTGTTTTGAATTGGCTACTTGAATGGCCGATAGAACTTCATTATGATGTGAATGTGGACTCAGAGCCCAATATCAAGGATGTTACGATAACACAATTTTTGGACCTTCCCTTTACTTTTATTCTCCGCTTTAACCTTGTACTTTAGCTTTCACACATGGTGCCACGCGGCACTTCCCCTTTTTGTCCAAACTCCTCTTTCTCACGCCGGATTGCCTTTCTTCTTATTATAGACACAACTCTCTCACACAGTGGAGTTGGCCATGCGGGCTAGGCCCCATGACATCATCAGCCACTGACTTTATCAACTGTACAGTACATAAGTACAAACACTCTGTATTAGTATATATACCCCAATAGATCCAGGAGACTCCTCAGCGAGTCCTCCTGTTGTTAACCAACAAACTCTCTGCAGCTCTAGGGGTAACCACTCCCTCATCATCTTCCTTATAGTGTGTTTTGTGTGCGCCAGAGTAACTAACTCTTGGTTGTTACAAAGGATAGAAGTGGTGGTTCGGAGTTGCAGGACTGGAATACATTGATTGCTAAGGTATCAAGGCTTGAGCACCTTCTGGCTGTGATATCCAGCCAATTAGAAGATGTTCAAGATCGAACAGCGGACTTATCATACCAGTTAGCGGTCCTGGAGGGTTTTGGTGCACCTAAGACTGACTTGGACCCATCTAGCTACTGATGTGATTCAGAGGAGGTGTAGTAAAAGCACTAGTACTACCAGTGGTACTCTGAGTTGGCTTAGCATAGTTTGAAGCTATCTCATTCCTACTATTCCAATATACATGTTAAAAGTTGTCAGGATATTTCTTCCAGTGAGATTCTTTGTACAAGAGATAGAAGTGTGGCCATGATAGGATTTTTTGGTTGTTCAGTTGATGCGCTGTGATATCTCTTCACTTGAGCAGATGACGGAACACTACCCAACCACTGAAGGATCCGGTCACTTGTCCTGTTGATATCACGGAGTGTAGCAGTGTCAGTCAAGTCCAAGAGCAAGGGCTTGCAAGTGCCCAATGCCCATTGGGTGATGAAACAGTGTACCTGTTATTGTAGTTCCTATTAGCTGGGTAGAGTATTTTGCCAGTGAGACGTAACAGTGACTTGACATACCAATGCTACAATATTAGCAACCATTGCATTTGTTATATGGGTCAAAGGAACCCAATGTGAAGTACTAGCATTGAGGTTCACTATTCCCATATAGTGTTCCGAGCTTTGCATAAAGTATAGCGGATCCAAAATGTGGAGGAAAGCAGGGTGGTCAAAATAGTCACACCCAGCCTGGGCCAGAGCAAGACTGGACTCGGTAGAATTCCTCTGCAAATGAGTGAAGGTTAATCTAATGAGTATTAGTAAAAGAGCAAGGTGATATTACGTCAGCAGATACTAGATCCATATAACTAGCATGGAAAAAACCAAATCCAATGCTTGGATTCCACTTGAGGAGGGCTCACACTTTGATGCTGGTGGATTTTTTGATGCTCTGGTGACCAGGAACTCTGAATCATTGAGTTGAAAAGAAGGTGTATGGATAAATCTGTAGATTGTACTGATCACTTTGTGGCAATATATTATTATTGTGCAAAGACAAGGTTCTCGAACCTGATCCAAGTCAAGTGTCATCACATCTGTATTAAAATATTCAGAGTTAGCTGTCCGTAAATGTACATCATAGATTTAAACTCAAATTGTCACTCACCGTGTTCTACATGACAATTTTCTCCAGTACAATGAATGTTGATACCCATATTTACAGCCCTTAAAGCAAGCTGCAACACGAGACAATTCCTTGGGAACATTGTATCCAAAGTGAGGCTGGAATTTGTATACCGTATAGCTGTAGGTTGAACTATGCACCACATAGGTGCGATATCTTGGAGACTGTCTAAGAATGCTGTATTCATATCTTTGATTTTCAACGTGAGGGGTGCAAATTAGTCATAACAAAAATTTTGATGTACCTTCCAAGTCGTTGGATACCCCGCTAGTCCAACTGCCCAAAATATAATTCACAAATGTGGTGCAAGAAGCTACAAATTGAGTAAAAGAGGGTTAGTATTGATAAGAATTGTGTTGGTAAGAAATTGTACTTGATGCTTCAGTCTGAAATGTGTCGGCTCTATTGGAAGGGCCTCCTTTAATGAGGCCACTGCTGGTACTGCTGGAAGCAGCAGATGAGTCAGAAGGGCCGGGAACAGGCATGATATTCACAAAACCCATAGTGTCTACTACATCACCTCCACTTACTACGGAATCTGCAGGAATACTGACTGATGCTGTGGCATGAGGAATTAAGGACCACCAATTTTCCCTTGCTTGTTGATGCTTTGGGGGCCTGCTGCAAGTAGGGCCACTAGAGGGCTCCCTAGTGTGCACAGATGAGCTTGAGGAGTCTTCATAAAGCCATAAGTGGTACACGTCACAAAAATGCAAAAGAAACAAATTATGTACCTTGGGCTGTCTGACCTCCGCCAGTAGCAACAGGGGAATACTTGTTGGTAACACCAGGAACACTGTCCACTTCTAGTAGGTGTCAAAGCATTGACTCCAAATCCAGATCCGTGTTTGGATACACAATACTGGAGGCTTGGTTGCTGGCCTGTTGGAAGTTGTTGCTGACTGGTTGAAAATCACTGGCCTGTCAAAATGAGCAAGCTGATGGCCCCGTTTCATAGGTCCATTGAAAGGTACTAACTATCAAACAATATCCATAAACCCCATCTACCAGAATACCAGCTGAAGATACACACTATGAGTTGCTGCTGTGAAACTGCTACTGGAATATTGGTATTGACCATGCATAGACTCCGCAGCTGATTGAATGAGCTGCTCATAGTCTGGATGGAGAGGCACAGTGTGGTGAGAATGGCATGGATGGAGATCACTCTGGGCTGCCCTTGCCTTGGACTGGTACCAAACCCAACCCAAAAATGTTCACAGTGTGAATCACAGCTTGCTCTTCATTGTCACCATATCTGTGACAAAGGCCATTCACAATATCCTGAAGCAAATCACGGGTCCAGTTGGAATCAAGACTCAGATCTAGCAAATATCAATGTCACCAATAAATGCTCAGATGTTATGAGATAGAAAAATTACTGTTGTGTTGAGACATTGGTAAGTCAACTCATTGGACCATCAAGGATCTACTTTCCAATGATGAATTAGTTTTGAGGACTATTTAGGATTTATTCCGATATCTTTGATAACAAGAACTTGAGGATGGGTCAATAGCCTGAACAAGACCTTTGCTTATTCTGAGCCAATGGTTAGACCGGTGATACTGAGCTCACATGAACACCAGTTAATTTTGACGTGAGAGATTGGACACGGGGGGTGGAGGCAGTCCCATTTGGAACTGAAGTTGTCCACAAGGAGGTTACTACAACATTGATTCTGCATAATTTTGGAGACTCGGGCTGCCAGCTCCCTCCTTGCTGAGCTCAGTCAACATTGCCTTCAGGACACTCTACAGTTTACCAATATAACCTGACTGCCCCAGCTTCACTCCGTAAAGGTCCCACATCCTCTTCTCCACCCCTTTCTTCTTCATTAAGTTCAGCACCTGATTCAGACCTAAATACTTTCCATGCCCAGCAACCTTGTTCCCGAGCTCTTTGTTACCAGTGTGGTTGTACAACCAACATCTGACCCGCTGCAATATTAATTGTAAACATGATGATATACTTTGACAATTAATAGTGATTATACCTCCTTCATGTCAGTTAAATCCTTGATGTTGGTTAGTACATGTCCTCCCAAATTTTCCCTGACTTCATCCCAGGTATCATCAAATACACATCCCCATTGTAGAGAATTTGCACCCCGGAACTCTTTCAAATGTGCATTGAGTATTTCAATTTGGGCGTCATTAAACTGTACTTCAGGCATGATCAAATGTGGTACAAGTTAAAAAGTGAGGTGTATGTTTGAAGATGAGCACTATCTTTCTCTCTTCCGTTTGAGTGCAAATTTTCAGGCAATTAAATACCACATTCATCCATTCCAAGCAAATATTTGGCTCTTCTGTCAGATGTGAGCAATAATATCATCACCTTAACTCCATACTGGGCCTTCAGCTAAGGCCCAGAATGTGTCAGGTACCTCCCGGCTAATGCCTTCCCTGATATATTGCTTCCATATATGGAAATTTAGTGCCAAATCCATCCAGTTAATTAGCTTTGTGAGGCCTAGATGTCATAGAAGCTAACGTAAATTAGAAGCATAGGCTCCATATCGATCACTGCCTTCTATCATATATACCTTGTATGAGCATTTTCAAACTGGTGTCTGGTTTAACAACATCATCTCTTCTCCGCAGAACTATTTAGCATGGGCCACAGCTCTTCCCAATGTTTGGCTTCAGTGTTACAAAGAGTAGATTAGAAGGAGTTCAAAACAAGCAGAAGTGTGCATACAAAACAAATAAGTGTGAAAGACCGTATATCCCAATCAACTTTGTCAACACCCCGTTAAACTCCTCATAAACATGATATGTTCCCCACCCAAGACATTGACCATCCTGTCCTTGAGCCAATGTGAAGGCAAGTCTATTGAGTAAGCACACCTACCATTATTCGTCTGACATTGGTTTAGTCACAAAATGAATGATTACATGAGACAATGGCTGGATCATCATTCAGAGTATCTGCAAGTCCTCATGCAGGAAGAGGGGCAGTCCCCGGACAGGCTTGCAGCCTTTGTTTAGTGAGAGAAAGAACTTGGTGATGCACAGAATGTTTGGGGAAACCAGAGTATTTCATGTTATGCTGCAGGGATGCTCACCAGAGGTTACCATTTCATAGAGTTGAGCAATGGGTGGGCACACATTTTGAACCTTCTTGGCTTTATAGAGCCAGCTTGGTAATTCATCTGGGCCACGCCGGGAAACCATACCTGGGACGTGATGACAACCACAGTCTAGCAGAGGACAACTCACCAGAGGGTAATTCCTAGGGGGAAGCTACCCAGGACAATTTTCCAGGTGCCCCATCGGACAATGAGGAAGGAGAATTATGGGAAGATAAAAAAGTCATCACAATGAGTGATATTCCCAAAAGGACTGGCTCCATTGACATTAATGGCAATACAATGATGCTTCTGGTAGACAGATCTGGTGTGCATCATTTGCCCGTTAAATGGTGTAGCTGTCCCAATGCTGCTTGCTTGGACGTTCAGCTCTTGTCCAATGGGTTGTACCCAGCAAGTCAGAAGAAGCCTCAAACAGCATTTACCTTTGCTTTGCTTGATAACTTCTTAATCAATAACAAGGAATGTAAAACTTCTGCAATGACTTTCTATTCCAAGATACGGTGGGCGACAAATAGTGCATTCCCGCACAAGGTCCCAGTGCGTCCCTCAGTTCTAGACTTCCTGGGTACCTCAATAACATTTCCCCCCTCTAGAATAGATATCAGGAGTTCAGGGTGTCCCAGCAGTGGAGACATTTGAAAGATATGTGTTGGCATGGATTTGCACACCAACCCAGCTGTCACCCTTCCCCCAGGGTCTCTAGCATTGTTTTTCCTGGCTTGCCCTTAGCCGGGTATCAATGTCTCGCTTGATTAGAAGCAGGACCCCCTCAGGCAGTATCACTTGAGGACTTTTGTCATGGATGAAAACTTTAACACAGAGCACATGAATTCAAAGAACCCCCATGATGATGTTCCATTGGCCAATGGCACAGCATTCTTGATAGCAAGCCAACTGTACATGGAGCACCTCAAAATTGCCAAAGAAAATAAAGTGGGGTCTACTTGTAATGGCCACAGAGCTGTAAACCTGGAAAACAAGGACTGGCAGCACCTTGATGCTACCGGGATTGGTGCTACTGCCTGTGCCCGGCATGGAGTATTTTGCTTGGGTACCGTAGCAGATTTTCAGAAAGGTGAATGGTGAGTTGCCCACAAATCTGTGATCGTGGCAATTGCTCACTCTTCATAGCCAAATGAACATGGAATATTCCCTGTGTCAGGCCTTGTCATTATTGGCCGGTATTAACTCAGTCATAGTCCTCCACGATATAATGTGCCAATATGGTAAACATTTCTTGAAGTGGGTCCTTGAAAGTCCTTATCTTCAGGTCCCCAGTGGTGTATCCATGTACAAGGGCATTTGGATTATTCCATGTGCATGAACATCAAGACATCTGCTTCCCAAGATATGCCCTTAACTTCATCCCTGGGGCCGGGCAGGTTGATGGTGATATTAGAAAAGCTTTGGGCTCCCCTCAATGAAGTCTCTCAAAGCACCTGGGCTATGAGTAAGTCACATAGGCAAGAAATATTGGACAACCACATAAGTGATTCCAATTGGAAGAAGCTTATGTTAGTTTTGGTGATTCTGCACCTTTGTGCTACCTATATATTTTCATTCCTTTCTCTATCTATTCTTCTATCATTCACTATTGATTGTGTTCTCTATTATTTTGCCTTTATGGCTGCTTTGTTTACCTTTGTTTACAAAACTTCGGACAGTACTGCAGAGTCCAATGCTTCCTATTCTCTAGTTACTCACATTGGACTCTAGGTACCGTATACCTGTCATACTCTCTAATAATATAGTTACTCACATTGGACTCTAATTCCAGTCCCTGATTGCTCTCAGCAAGTGGCTAGACACTTCCTTCAAGCTTTGTTCTTAATAGCTTATACAAATGGGTAGGTCCCGGGCTTCAATAACTCACCCATATTCATGACTAAGTGCATCCCTAGTCCCGGCGCTTTGCAAGAAGTTGAAAAAGGTTCAACAAGGCTTGCCATCAAGCATGCTTGCATTCAAAAACATACATTCCACTGCAGACTCCGAGGACACAGAGGCCTAGATTGCCCAGGAAAAAAATGCACAGCAAAACTAGCTGCATAAAGAAGACACCATGGATATATATAAAGTCTCTTTGGCAAAATTACGCAGCAAAGCAGAAATCCAGCTGCATTTATTGCAACAGGAAACAAAAAATGGAGTGGTTCAAGGAACCGCTGCTTGGTTATTGGTGGGTCTGAAGTTGGAAGAGACTCAGTAAGTCCCCGGGCCCCCAGGATCCCAGGAATATATGCTTTTTTGAATACTGATTAACTCTACCTAACAGTATACAGCTGCAAATGTATGCAAGACAAATCAACAAAAAGGGGAAAACAGCAGAAAAACTGGAGTTAGAGGAAAGGCGTCAACACCTGCTCTCCCGCGTAGATGCTTTCAACCTTAAGGTTGAAAGGTATCTAGGCAATATTGATGTTGTCAAGTTTCTGTTAGTTTTGGTGATTCTGCACCTTTGTGCTACCTATATATTTTCATTCCTTTCTCTATCTATTCTTCTATCATTCACTATTGATTGTGTTCTCTATTATTTTGCCTTTATGGCTGCTTTGTTTACCTTTGTTTACAAAACTTCGGACAGTACTGCAGAGTCCAATGCTTCCTATTCTCTAGTTACTCACATTGGACTCTAGGTACTGTATACCTGTCATACTCTCTAATAATACAGTTACTCACATTGGACTCTAGTTCCAGTCCCTGATTGCTCTCAGCAAGTGGCTAGACACTTCCTTCAAGCTTTGTTCTTAATAGTTTCTTGAGGAGGTCCTAGGGTGGCCAAACTCTGATAAAAACAATGATGCAGAAGACATAAATCTGTTTGACCTCCCGGGTTCCTTTGATGGCGATGATGAGCCTATTGAGAGGAGAAAATTGGTGTTACCCTGTAACTTAGGAAAAGGCACTTGCAAAATCAAAGGCCTACACCATCTAGTAAGTCAAGAGCTTACACTCTGGGAAGGTCAGGCCAACAACACCTTGCATCAGATATGTATCCTACTGGGTCAAAAGTCATTTCTGTTCATGACAAAGGTAAGAGCAGCCCGGGGCTCTCAAAAGAAAAAGTTGAAGGCTTGGGCAGAGCTTACTCACATGGATGCTGACATCAAAGTCCACTCAGCCATATATAAGAGAGCCTGGCATGCAATTATATCTCTGGGGTGCTGGGCAGAAATATTACAAAATATCAAGAGCTCAAACCAGACCACCTCAAGACAAGTACCCAGCTCATAAATCCTAATGCAACCCTACTCTGCAACACTGGATTGCCATGGTTTTGGAGCATATATCTGAAAAGTGACACCTCCCAACAGACCTGGATGTCTGAATATATATGCCCCAGCCTGGTCACAATTTCACGGTATCACACAGCTAACATTTAGTAATACAATACAGCTTACCGGGTTCACTGGCTAAGCGCAAAAGCCATGTACAATAGGTGGATAGAAGAAGATATTCTGGTGCACCTCAAGATAAAGTGGACAGTTCAGTATTTTCAACATCAAGCTAAGCATTGAAAGGGTTTTTGGGATGCCAATAAAATGGAGGCTAAACCAGGTTATGTAGCATGTGCAGAGAGGCAAATCAGGACATGGAACTATTTCTCAAAACAGGCAAAGGACTCATTCCAGAGGCTAGGCATAGTGGTTTGAGGGGACTAGAATAGTGGACCACAATTAAATAGAAACCCTGAGTTCATTATACTATGTAATGGTAGTCCAGTATTCTTGGACTTCATAGCAATCCATTGTAGTAATACAAGATTCCCGGGCTTCTACTCACTTCCGGTATCCAACTGCAGGGTGCCCGGGTTTCACCCTTTTTATTGAGCAAGCTACTACAAATAGCTACAAACTTGCAGCAGTGATGTACCCAGATCAAGGCAGTTCAGCTGCTATTCCACATCTATAAATGCATAACATGATCATGTGAAGGTACTGACTATCCCAGGGTCCCCACCCCGTACATTGTATGTATATACTCCCTCATGTAATATGCAAAACATATTCTCTCACCACTGCAGGATGAAACCCCATAATTCAGCAACTTCCCACTAAATGCAGCAATAGTCCCACTATCAAACCTGAAGCAAAAACATGCCCCGGTGAGCTCCAGAATGGCTTCATTGTAGTCTCCTACGCTTGCAAACATGTCAAACCACTCTGCTTTGGAGAGACAATCCCAGTGTACTGGTGTCTCCCGGTTGCTGATGATAGAATGATAGAAAGTGCATTGAAGACTGAGCTCCATGCCTTTAGTACCATCACATCATCCATATAGTCCTCAACTTGTATCAGCGCCTCCCGAGCCGATTCATAAAGTGCAGGGTGAGCTACATGCAAGATTGCACTTATGAGGGCCCCGGTCTCCACAAAGGATTGCAACCACAGTTCACCATTGCCCAAGGGTGTAGATTTGCGCAAGGACCGGGAAGCTTGTGGAGCCTCACCAGTTTTCTGTGGTGAAACTTTTATTAATTGTAATATATAAGATTATAACTCAATAACACAAACTTTATGACCGAGTTGCAACCACGCCGGGGATAAGTCTATCAACCCACAAGGGAATGTTACAGTAACACAATTTTCGGACCTTCAAATTTCATTCTCCTCTTCAACTTTCTTTTGTAGTTTTCACACCCTGTGCCATGCAGCACTTTCTATTATTGTTCAAACTCCACTTCTCACACTGCGCTGCCTTTTCTATTTTTAGATACAAGTTTCTCATGCAGTGGAGCTGGTCACACGGGCTGTGCCCCATGACATCATCAGCCACTACCTCCATCAACTGTACTGTACACATGTACAAACAAACTGTAGTAGTATATATACCCCAATAGATCAAGGAGACTCCTCAGCAAGTCCTCCTGTTGTTTACCCACAACTAACTCGGTCCTATCTTAAGGGTAACCACTCCCCTCACTACCTTTACAGCGTTGTCTGAGTTGTGCACCAGAGTATACAAACTCTTGGTTGTAACAGGGAATAGCTGACACTCCCCAGGATTTGTGTAATATTTGGAAGATTGATGCCAACTCTTTAAGGGCTTCTTGGGGCATTTGCTTTCCATATTTTGCTTGAGATGCTGTAGACTATCACAAATGCTTTGCTAAATATATTATATCCATGTAAGTATTTTGCTTAACCATGTAAATATATCTTCACCTGTCTTTCCTCAGTGAGGATGCCCGGAAGGTACCATAGCACTATTCTTCCATGAATATGATGGAAGGGATCGTGATGATGCCAATATTTTTTGCAGCGGGTAGATATTCCTCAGATATACTCTGTTTGAGCTTGTTGTTCTGGCTGTTATTACAAGAGCCCAACCGCTCTGCATACAATGTGGCATCCCATTGAATATTCACTACCCGGGTATTCATCAGTAATGTCTTTGGTACAATACAAATGACTTACTCCTTATGAGGTATGCAATTGCTAACACCCCGGCTGCTCTCTCACATTTGCTAACAAATGATGTTCCCAGGAGTTTTGCATTCCAATCCCACTGGGATCCCGGCTCTGGCTGGTGGAGGTTGGGCCCCTCAGTATACATGTGAATCAATACTTGCCGGAATTGAAATAGCATACACTGTGCTGCAAGTTCTGTAAACAGAAATTTCCAGCTCAGAGGAATATCAGAGGAAATGGATGGCTCAGGGGTTTGAGGACTCATGGCATTGCTGTAGACATCAAAAATATATGTGGGTTCTCTAATAAATGATTACTGGTCAGTACATTATATAATACCGCATTTCAGAAACATGTTGTTCAAGCATGTCCATGAATCTATAATGTAAGCACTACAGTCTTAGAGAGCCTCCCAGCAACAATATACCACCAGATTTAGAAGTTATGAGATATTATATTTGCATATCCAATGTCAAAAAGAAAAAAACAATGCTTAAAAGGTGACAGACAGGCCTTTGATGAGCAGACTCTGATCCAGCTGGGTCGTCATCAACAAGCACCCTGTGACCCAGCCTGGTTGTCTCCAACGAGCAGACTCTCACCCAGCTGTGTTGTTGATGATGGGCACAATAATATCACGTCTAACATGGCCCGGCTGGCACACTCCGCTGGACTCTGCTGGCCCCGTCTATATAGTAATATTATCAGGTAATAATGCCCCGTCTAAGATGGAAGGTTATTACTACACTATTTGGGCTGTCCATGTCCATAATTTCCTCGCAATTACATTATCCAGATCTGAGCATGACTTATTCAAAGCTGATCTGAAAAAAAAAGTGGGAAATTTTGGACTTAGGGCATCCTCTGTTGCCCCAGGAGTTGTGGGTATGTCCTCTGTCCCCTCCATATACCACAAATTTGAAAGAGTTTTCAGAAAAGCCAAAGCAGGCAAACTCCCGCCTCATTGTCTGCTTAATCTTGTAATTGACCTGGATGAAGAAGCTGCTCCTCCACTTTTTATGATCTACTCACTATCACAAACAGAGCTGGAAACTCTTCACATCTTTATGGAAGAAAATGAAAACCTAGCCAACAGGATTATTTGCCCTTTCTGCTCCAAGCAGAGCCCCAGTACTTTTTGTGAGGAAAAAGAACAGTTCCCTCAGGCTCTGTGTAGACTTCCAAGGGCTGAACAAGATGCTACCCCCTTCCCCGTATATCCAACCTTCTAGATACTCCAAGCCGTGCAAAGATCTATACCAAGCTCATCCTCCAACACACCTACCATCTGATCTGGATTACCAATGGGGATGAATGGAAAACTGCTTCCCAAACCTGCTATGGCTTGTCACCACAGGAATAAAACAATAGCAAGCAAACCAGCTTGCTTCTAAAATGTAACTGGAAGGTTGACTCTTAGTTTTTATTTAGCCAAGCTGTTATTTTTTTTTAGTGTTTAAACAATCATATTTGTAAACAACTTTACTACATAATTGTTGATTATTTGTATAAAAAATGTGCTAGTTTAATGCTAGTTGAATGTTATTATTTTGAGTTTTAACTTTAAGTTAGTGACATTTGTTAGCTTGCAATACTTAAAACCCTAGCCACAAACCAGCCTTTGTTACATTGATGGGTTAAATACTAGTATTTTAAGTTTCGACTTTGAGTACGTGACATCTGTTAGCTTGATGATGGTCACAAAGTAGTCATAAAACAGTCACATAATAGCAAGTACAACAAAGGCTGTTTTGGAAGTTAGTGTGACTATTTTGTGAAGGTTTTTGTGTATCAGCAAGCAAATAGATGTCACAAACTCCAAATTGGGATTTAAAATACTAATATTAAACCAACATATATTTTATACAAATAATAAGTAATTATTTAGTACAACTGTTACAAATATGGTTTTTCAAACACTATCAATATAACAGCTTGATTTTATAGAAGCTAAAAGTCAAACTTTTAGTCACATATTAGAACTAAGCTAGGTTGGCTTCTACTGTTTTATTTCTGTGGTGTTGTATGAATGGCTGGTTATGCCTTTTGGGCTTACCAATGCTTTTGCAGTCTTCCAATGATTCATCAATACCATCTTTGCTAATCTCCTCAATGATGTCCTCATATTCTCCAATAACCCCAAGCAGCATACAGCACATGTCCAAGAGGTACTCCAGTGGTTCCACACCAATGGTCTGTACAATTATCCTGACAAATGCTTTTTTTATACCAGTTCTGTTGAATAACTTGGTTTCCTTCTCTCTCTGAAAGGCCTCACAATGTCCAATAACAAAGTCCAAACCATCCACAGTTGGCAAGAACCCCAAAAAATTCAGGATGTATAATCCTTTCTAGGGTTCACCAACCCCCACCATTGTTTCATTAACAATTACTCTAGCATTGACATTCCGCTCACCCGCCCTACCCAGAAAGATATCCTGGTTGACATCTTATGCATGGCCATCCTGTTTTTATACTCAAACACAATGTACATGGCTACCCTTCTTGCATTAAAGCCAGGTATGTCTGTAAGGGCTTTACCACCATTCTTGGTTGTGACTACCACAAAACAACTTCCCCAACAGCACGTCTTGAGTCTTTCTGCCTTCTCCTTCACCTTGTTGCCACTTTCTCTTGAGACCTTTTACAAATTGACATACAAATGGCCTTCTCAAATGACACACTCCCCAATGACAAAATTTGTTATATGGAACAACCTGCTGGCTTCTGCGGAAGAGGACCATGTCTGGCACCTGAATAAGGCCATAGAATAGGCAGGTCATGTTGGCAGAATAGTGTGTTTATATCTGCATATTCCCAATAGGAATTTGCATTGCTGCTGTCCATGTGGACCATTTTCTCTCCATTGCCACATCAAAGGAGGAGAATGAACACTTCAAAGTGGACTTGAAATGCAAAGGCAGATATCTGACTTTGGCAAGGCTAAGTTCTGTGTTGGTATTGCCATAGAACAAAGCAACATATTGTAACTACATCAACTCATAAAGTGCAGTATATCATGGCTTGCAAAGCTTTAAAAGAAGTAGTATGGCTATGCTCGCTACTCAGTGCAATATCAAGAACACAGAAAGTGCCTCTCCCTTTACTATGTGATAACAATGGCACTATTACTCTTAGTGACAACCTATCATTTCATGCATGAGCCAAACACATAGATATTTATTTTCATTACATCTATGAACAAGTCCATTCAAAACAAATCATCATCCAATAGATACAGTGACTCCAAAAACCGTTACAATGTTTGGTCTAAATGCCGTGCACAAAGCACACTGCCAACAGGCGTGGAAATTTTGCTTATCTTCGGTGGGTCAGCAAGAGTACTTGATCTTGGCTACAAAATGGTTCTTGGGTCATGTGAATTGGCCCAGCAGCTGTGAAGATATTTATATTTCAAAACAGCAATACCACTGCAATAGTTTTTCAGTTTTGAGTTAGAAGCAGAGATCACAATGATATCATAGAGTAATTGGCTTTGTTTGGTCCTACAAACAAAGATATACATATAAACATTGTGTCTGAGTTTAAAAAAGTTCACACACTTCTTTATTCTCAACCACCATCATCCATAATTCCTCTCTCCGGCTCAAAAGAACCAGATCCTTAACCTCCTTGATGCAGGTCAAACTGCTCACTCCATTGCCTCTACCAATGGTGCCCAAACACTGTCTGCCGGTGCTTGAAAAATGCTTGCATGGGGGCTGTGGTCGGGCGGAAACACCCACTTCTCTCTGCCAAGTGTAGCAACCAAGAGTTTGTTACTCTGGCGCACAACTCAGACAAGCTATAGAGATGATGATGAGGGAGTGGTTACCCTTTAGGCTTCAGCAAGTTAGTTGTGAGGATACAACAGAAGGACTCGCTGAGGAGTCTCCTTGATCTATTGGGGTATATATACTACTACAGGTTTGTTTGTACATATGTACTATACAGTTGATGAAGGCAGTGGCTGATGATGTCGTGGGTACAGCCCATGTGACTAGCTCCACTGCGTGAGATACTTGTAGCTAAAATAAGAAGGAAGGCAGCGCAGCATGAGAAAGAGGAGTTTGAACAAAAAGAAAAGTGCTGCATGGCACAGGGTGTGAAAACTACAGTATAAAGTTAAAGAGGAGAATGAAAATTAAAGGTCCAAAAATTGTGTATTGTAACACCAACCATTGTAAAGCTAGGTTGGACTTTACTCATGCTCACAAGGACTGGACTGTGGAGGATTGGAAGAAGGTTGTATGGTCTGATGAGAACAAAATCAATCACCTGGGGTCAGGTGGATGGATGCAAGTGGGTGTGGAAAAAGCCAGGTGAGGGCCTCAGTGATAGATTGGTACAGGGAACTGTCAAGTTTGGAGGAGGTTCTATGATGATCTGGGGCTGTATGACTTGGGAGGGAGTTGGATATGCTGCTAGAATTGATGATAGGATGGATAGGTAGACCATATAAGAGGATCTGCTATTTGTTCAAGGTAATCTGATTTTTATCTTCTATTTCTAGACTACAAATGTCTTCTACCACTGGCAGGCAATTAGAGTCAGCTGGTCCACGCTTTGTCTATTTTCTTTCTCCTCTCTAACAGGGAAGAGCTGGGCCGAAGCAAAAATCGATTGAGCAACTGTGCTCAGGTGGCGCGGCGCGGGATTTTAGGCGTTGCTTGAAATATAAGTGAGGGTGCCGATGAACGGCAGACCTGGGAAACCCAGGATACATGGACGCGTCACATATTTCCTGACCACGCAACAAATACGACTCAGAATACTTCACTTTCATATTCTACAGTTGTCGCACTACAATGGTTAGCTCATCGCGTCCCTCTGACAACGCAGTTATTGACATATCTTTCCCGCCTACTAGTCGATCATGGAATACAACGGTGGCTCCGTAATAGCCATGGTGGGCAAGGATTGTGTTGCAATTGCCTCTGATCTTCGACTAGGGAATCAGGCTCTGTCAATATCGTCAAATTTTCAAAAGGTATGCCAGTGCCCGCGAAACATCTTGTGTTGTCCGCTGAATATGTATCGTTAGGTTTTCCCTGTTACCGACAGAATATATGTTGGCCTACCAGGGTTAGGAACTGACGTGACGACTTTGTATGGGTGTTTCAATCGCCTTGAGCCACGCTTATCTGCCATTTTTTTAGGCGAGAACGATTCCGTTACAGAATTAACATGTATACTATCAAGGAGGAAAGAGAGATCGAGCCAGAGACCTTTGCTCACCTCGTGTCTTCCACACTCTATGAACATCGTTTCGGCCCGTATTTCATCGAACCTGTCATAGCTGGTCTTTCGAAGACACCATCTGGCGGTGTGAAGCCATTAATCGCTGCTGCTGACCTTATTGGATGTCTGAACTTTGCTAAAGACTTCGTGGTTGCTGGTACAGCAAGCACGAAACTGCTTGGTGTAGCCGAAGGGTTATGGGAGCCAGATTTAGAGCCGGAGGATTTGTTTGAGACAATATCACAAACATTGCTAAACTCAGTGGATAGAGATGCCTTCTCGGGATGGGGAGCTGTTGTACATGTTATGTTAGTTTGGATCTTTAAAATTTCCCTTGTCGTTACTGATGCCACACGAACATACGATCTAGCACGAAAGACAGTATAATCAGCCGGACTCTAAAAGGTAGAATGGATTAGTAAAAATTGTATTCATGTACTTCATGATCAAAGTATAACTGTAATTTTCATACAATCAAGCAAGGGGAGTGCAGACAAAAAGTTCTTGACGCGAACTCGGAAAAGTCAGAAGGGTAGGACCCTGGAAATATAGTAGGGTTGTTTTAAATACTGTCTTGCAATCCATCCATCCATGATGGTTTTCTTGTCAATTGTGTGATCTATAACGAAGGGGACGGTGGCAGTAGTGGAAGGGCCTTGGGTACCGCCGTTGGCACTATAGTGCCTTCGGCACATGGGCACCCCCAGACAACGATGACAAGGCCCAAGGTGCCTATGGCACCGAAAGATCCCGAGCAACTCCGGTCTCACCCTGCAGGACATTCGAGCAGCAGTGTCGACAGTTGCAGCTCAAAATAATGAGCCTTCAGAGGCAAGGGTTTTGAAAGAGCGAAGAGGGGATATTTAGACAGACAGTGTGTATCTATATTACATGAAATATATAAATTATATCCCAAAAATCATGGTGCCGAAGTCAGCACAGACTCCTTGAAAGTGTCCATGTCCAAAGACTTGTCTAACTCACCAGGAGCATCCAGACTAACCAGATCATATAGCTCGAGTTCCTCATTTAAACCTCGTAGCAAAAACCTCTCCTCTACCTGTATCCAAGCTGTATCCTCGAAGTTGAATAGCTGAGAGATTGATACATGTATTTTTCCGAATGTCACAACCTCTGGGTCTTCATCTGCATCCAGACAGCCACACAAGCCTATGATTATGTCGTTCATTGAGTTCCCGCATGTAGAAGATGGACTATGTAGAGCTTCTGCCTCCGAGTTTGAATTGTCAGGCGGGTGACCTGGATTACTAGCAGGTTCAGCTTTGCCCAAAGTGAAGTCATTGGTTGACATTGAGAGTATTTGGCGTTTGCGCAGCTTTTGTTTCAGTATCCCCAAGCGGACATGTTCATCACGTAGGTGAAGTCGGAGCTCAGCAAGATCAGTCATTGATTTGATACTCATTTGAGAGCGAAGCCGGGTGAGGATAAGCCCAAAGGCACTGAAAAGTCTCTCGCAAGAGGCTGAGTTGGCTGAGACAGTGAGTAGATATCTTGCAAGACATTAAAGAGGTGTTGGGAGCGGGTTGACTAGGTTGGTCATTGCAATATAGATGCTCATTTGGTCAACAGACAGACTTGTTCTGTCAAAGGGTAATTGAGTACAAAATTGTATTACAACAAGTAAATTTACTTACTTCGCTAGCTGCTAATGCAGTTTCATGCTGAATGTGATCTGGGAGCTTTCCATACCGTTCTTGGTTACTGAGATAACTCACAAGCTCACGGTAGTGTTGGATATTCGGTCCCTCAGGGTGCAGGAACAGGCACGGGAGAAGGATTCCTTTGGCAAACAAATGCTGTAACAATGTAAATACATATCTTATATAACAAACATATGTAAATATCATGTGAAAGACAATGATAGCCACAAAAGGCTGGTTGTAATCACAGAGTAAATCTTTGGGCGAAGCTCCAAAATTTGCTTACATAATATAATTTCTACAGTTAGAGCTGAATTGGGGCCTCTTCTTTGTAAAAGTGCATCCACAGCCAACTACAGAGCTCCCAGACTCCTGCTGCTGTCATGAACTCAACACTGGAGCTGAATGGAGAGGCCTTGCAGAGAGGATCAAGGATTACTGCAGCAATGAATATGTCTTGGTCTGATTTTTCCCAGTGTTTCTCGATGCTTTTCAGTGTTGCTCGCATGAGTGGGACATCAGTTGGGTTGTTGGGAGTGTTCAAAATAGATGAAAATTTGGAAAATAATATTCCAAAGGTAATCAGGACTTGGTCAAGTCAAAAATATGTTGCCTGAGTGATATTTGCTGCAAGTGCAAGTGGTTCGAGGTGTTTTTTAATCCTATGGAAGCCTAAGTGCAAGAAAAATCTCAGACCAGATGAAAGTCATACTGCGCTATGGTGTGCCAAATCAACACATTATTAATGGTCTCTACCATTCTGTTGGCCTTCTCTAAAGCCTGTTGGTCTTCAGTTCTGACCAGCCGTTCAGCAGGTATTTTTGGGCGTCTGCAGCCACAATTTGTTGCAAAGTAAGTCATAGTTCAAGTAGATGCTGAAATGCAAGATAGTGTGCTGTCCATTGTGTAATCACAGGGCGGATAACAGATTTTGCAGAGCCAGTGAGTATTTTGAGATAGAGCGAATGAGAGTAGTAAGGAGTATTTTGCTCTGTATCTATATAATGAGGTCAATAGCCTTTGTTGAAAAATCGGATACAAACTGTGCCTCCTTGCAAGCAAAATAATCCCCTACAATGAGGTTAATTTGGTGTGCGTAGCAGTCTAGGACTATGATCTCAGGCCTATCTTGACAAAGGATTTTTCTTGCCTTGTGAGAGTCTCCAGAAGCATCAGAAGTAAATGCAATGAGGATCACATGCCAGCTAACTTTGAGTATCTCCTGTATTTTCTTGATGAGTGTATATAGGTTGTTGGCAGATTTTTGTTCAGAGGACACATCATAAACCTTCACAGTATGAACCTACAACTTGAAATAGGTCATACAAACATGAAAAATCATAAATGTGGCTTACCTCATGAGATGCTGATGTGACCATAAACACAATTATGTGGTGTGAGTTGATACTGGTCCATCCATCACACTGTCCTGTCCCAAGCTGTCCGCCAAGGCTTTTTTTTGCCATTTCACAATAGTGTTTAGCCTCTGCGGGGATAAGTTGATTAGACAGGACTTTGTGGCTGATAGGCTGGGCATTCGGAAGAAACCTTTGGCAGAACTGAATCCATTCAGGGTCTTCAACCCATTGGAATGGTAGACCAGCTGAAGCTGTGAGGTGGGCAAGGCATCGTCCAAACTCTTGCTGCATCTCAATACTCCATTGCAATGTTTGTGATGGTTGATGCGAGAAGCTTTTGCAGCTGTGTTTTGATGGAATTTTGGCATGAGTCTGATAAAGATCTGGCAGATATGGGGAAGCTAATGTACCTGGAAATGCACTTGGGGTCCGAAAAGGTGATCCAGAGCTGAAGTTTGATCTTGAAAGTAGGAGGTTTGGAAGAGGTGAAAATGATGAGGGACCAGCTTGCTCATAATTGCTGCGGGTTTGTTTCAAAGATGGTGATGCTGCTACAGAATAACCACGGTTCTTGTATTCATGTCTGGCACGCTGGTGGACAAATTGTGGCTGGTTTGGACAATGAAGAACTAGATGTTGCAGAACTGTGTTTTTGCGAGATGGAAGCCAGGGTTTGTTCTCGGAGTGGTCAGCCCACATTAGTGTAGTCATATTAGTCTCATGCTATAGCGCAAATATTCCTACTTACTGTCACTTTCAATTATTTCCTGAGTATGTGCTGTCACTCTCTTGTTTTGTGTGACATCTTCTATATCTTGTATCTTATGCTTGTCCACTATTACGGGTCAGCACATGTTACATGCAACTTTTGCACACTTGCCATCCTTGCTTGCAAATGATGTTGGATCCTTATCTTTGTGCTTGGGATGATCTGTAAAGTTATCAATTCTCCACTAATCTCGTTCTCGACCCATTTTTTTGGACTGATATTAGACTGCAAGGCTAGGTAAACCAAGTGGTGAAAATCCAAAAGGAAGTTAGTTTGTGCCAGCTCTTCTGTCAGACTCGAGATTATATACAAAGAATGCATGAGGAGAAGGGGCAGCAAACACAATACAAGCTTTTTGCGGTATGAAAGTCATGCAGTTAAGTCACAGCAATGGTGAACATGTTGATGACAATCTCATTGATCTCCAATCAGGCTGCATGAGCACCTTACACATATGTGATTACTCAGATATAGTGCTGTCTCAAGTACCATACACATGGTCCAGTGCCCCAGAGTGCCATGGAGGCACCTTGGGCACTCTGATAGGCACTGTTCTTGAAGGCACAGCTCATCTAACACTGGACGGTGGTCTCAAAAGTTGCGTGCGGCACACATGGGAGCACATTGTGAAACCGAGCTCCTGGAGCTTGTGATCAAAAGTTTTATTCCATGTACGACCAGCTTGTTTTAACCCATAGATGGATTTCTTCAATCTCCAGCAGTATCCAGGTTGGATAGGAACACCCCCTGGAGGAAGCATGTACAGTTCTTCTTCAAGTTCTCCATTGAGATAAGCTGTGGATACGTCCATTTGATCAAGTTCTAGGTTGTACTTTGCTGCCAGGGCTAGAATAATTCAGATCAACTCTAAGTTTACAACCAGAGCAAAAGCTTCCTGGTAATCAATCCCCTCCCTTTGAGTAAAACCTCGTGCAACAATCCGGAGTTTGTATCTCTCAATGTTTCTGTTTTGATCAAACTTGATCCGGAACACAGGTTTTGATGTGATGGGTTTTACTCCCTTCGGAAGTGGAACAGTGTCATATACTGCATTAGTATTGAGACTTAGGAGTTCCTCCTCCAAGGCAGACTTCCATAATTCTCCATCCGGACGTGATAAGGCTTCCTTTAGTGTCCTTGGAAGGTCTGTGTTAGATGGACCGGTACTTGCTATTCCAGCAAAGAATGTCTCCTCTGTATCAGATGTTTCTTCATGAACCTCAGGAGTGTTAGGTTTCTCCATGGAGTTGTCATGCTGCTCTTTTCAAGACTGTTCCTCGTTTAGAGTCCTTTGATAATCTTGGTTTTTGTCTGCAGGATGGGTCTGGCGACTGCTTCTGCGTACTCCTAGGACTTCAGCAGGCATGACTGCTCTTTTAGGAACTTGTGCAGGTACTCCAGGGAGTAGACACATTTGTGTATTTGTTGCCCCACTCACTCCTGAAGGTGTTAAATCACTCCTTGGAGGTGTTGGATGACTCCTTGGAGGTGTTGTATGCCTTCCAGAAGCTGATCCAATGGACAGGCTGTCTAGCTGTATTCGGACTTTTTCCACATCAGCTGGCTGTATGTTGAGGGGCTGTCCTCCCACTGACTGTAACTCTACTTTGGCTTTCCGTTCTGAAGATGGCCAGTGTTCAGGTCTTGTTTGTAGAGACTGTTGTGGAGGGTGTCTTAGCTGATCAGGTGCTCCCACTGCTCTCGGAACGTCTCCACAGAGGTATTGCCCCACTGCTCTCGGATGCTGATATGGTTCCATTGCTTGTGGAACATCTCCTTGGAGATGTGGTTCCATTTGCAATTCATTTGGATCTCAGATCCGAGGGTCAGGATCATCCTCCTCCAATGTATTTTGGTCTGGATAGTGAGCATTCTCTGGAATGAGTCCCTCCCACTAATCTATGCTAGTGTCTGTGTTCCAGGGAGCAGTGTCATCCTTTTGTACCTTTCCGGATTCATTGAATATGACATGCCGACTGGAAAACACAGTCCGTTTTTCAGTGTTTAGGAGTTTGTAGGCTTGCTTTCCATGTGTGTAGCTAATCATTATGGCATTGCGCCCCTTGGAGTAAAACTTCCCTTGCCTCTTGTCTTTCAGAATTAAGGCATATGCTTGGCATCCGAAAGGGCGAAACAAAGTTGGATCAACTCTCCTTTGGAACAGTATTTCATATGGGGTCTTTCCATGGAGTCCTGATGCTGGGCTGCGTGCTGTGATATATGCAGCTGTTTGCATAGCATCTACCCAAAATGACTTTGGGAGCTTGAAATCATGGAGCATAGTGGTTGCTAATGTAGCCAATGTCTGATTCATGCGTTCTGCAATGCCATTTTGTTCCGGAGTATCTGCAGCTGTAGTTTCTTGGATGACACCATCTCCTTGGAGTTGATTTTTGAATGCATTGCCAGTATATTCTCCTCCCCCATTGCTCCGGAGGAATTCTGTGTACAGTGGAGTGAAGTTTTCTTCTCCCAAATGAGTCCGGAAGAATGTTTGGACATCTTCTTTCCATTGCTTGTATCATTCCAGTGCTTCACTTTTATGTTGTAGGAAATATATCCATGGAAATTTGGAGAAATCATCTACAATGATAATCCAGTACCAAAAACCCTCCCTGGAAGTTGGTTTGATTGGTCCTCCA